GGGCCGCCGCAGCAGAGCGTGCGCACTTAACCGCTTGTGCCACCGGGCCGGCCCCAGTCTCGTAGTATTTTTAAATCTTCTTAGGAATGCCTTTCTTTGTTAGTTTATAAGCCAATTTTACTCAATATTGTATTTGCCAACTTTATTACACATTTTGTTTACCAGCCTTGATTCCAAACTTGACTTTGGGCTGCTCTCAAAGGAATATTGTAAAGAGCAGTCTAAAGAATTTTCCTAAACTGCTGAACAATTTGAAAAATTTCAATGGAGTAAGAGCATACAGCTTCCTCAAATAGCTGTATTTTGACCTAGCAACACTGATTTGGATGTAAAAGTTCTGAAATGTGTGTGAAATTCATATTTATTAAGTTGTTTGACTTCATTTTTTACTACTGTTGAAGACTTTCCATAGCATTCCTAGAGTTAATGAGATGTCTTCAGAGGAAATATAAAGACTGTGTTAATCAGAAGAGACGCTTGCATTTCTAAAGCAGGCTGGCGATGACCTCAGTGTGATGTTTAAGACTCAGCTGTCTAAGATAAGCTTGATTACAATGTAATAAGTCATCATTCTGAAGAATATTTTTCTTGTGTTCTTAAATTACACAATTATTATTTTGACTTTTTTCTGGAGTGAGAAATGGTACTTCCAATTATTTATATTAGATAAAAAAGTCAAATTGAATTTAGCTGATAAATTATATCCCTGTGGAATTGAGATCTATGAGAAGGAATCCACTGTAGGAAGAAAACTGTTCTCATTCTTATTTTTTTCCCTCCACCGTTTAAAAGAAATTACATTTGTTAACTGTTCAACATGAAGTGTTCATTTTAAGGAACTAGTTGTTTTTTTAGGGTCTGATGCTTGCCCCTTGGCCCTGAATGTGCACATAAACCAAAGCTCCACATTCTAAATGTCTTCCTTCCAGCTGGAACATGCAGAGAATTCAGAAGAAAATAATTTTTCTCGGAGATGATATTTCTTACTTTGTCTTTCTTCATCTTCCTGTCTTTTCAGAATGAAATCCCACAATTAGTTGGTGAGATTTACCAGAATTTCTTTGTGGAGAGCAAAGAAATATCGGTGGAAAAATCACTTTACAAAGAAATCCAGCAGTGTCTTGTGGGAAATAAAGGTATTGAGGTGTTCTGCAAAATCCAGGGAGATGTTTATGAGACCCTAAAGGATAGGTATTACCCTTCATTTATTGTCAGTGACCTGTATGAGAAATTGATGATAAAAGAGGAAGAAAAACATGTCCCCCAGTTGATTTCGAACAAGGATGAAATGGTGAGTCACGTTTAATTTCTCCTCTCTTTTGGGTGGATAAGCTTTGTTTTTTTTTTTTTAAAGATTTTATTTATTTTATTTTTTCCCCCCAAAGCCCCAGCAGATAGTTGTATGTCATAGCTGCACATCCTTCTAGTTGCGGCATGTGGGACTCGGCCTCAGGATGGACGGAGAAGTGGCGCCTCGATGCGCACCCGGGATCCGAACCCGGGCCGCCAGCATTGCAGTGCGCGCACTTAACCACCAAGCCACAGGGCCGGCCCTGGGTGGATAAGCTTTGAATACAGTTAGGTGGGCGCATATCATGTAAGCCAAATTTGGTGTACACCATCGTCTTTAAGTATACAGGACTTTAAGTAGAACTTGTTAAGTTGAATTACCTTGTTGCTTCTTGTCTTACACACTTCTTCCTTTGTCCTTCTGACTACCAGGCTGACACCTCTCAGCGTTGAGTCTGAGACCTCCCTGTGCTCTGACTGCCCAAGACACACCCCGAGGTTGACTCCTGAAAAGTGAGGGCAGAAAAATCTGGGGGGTGGGTCGTTTGTGGCTTAGGCCAGGTAAAGAGAATCAGTAGAACTATAGTCCAACCTAAGAATAGACAAAGGATGGGGAAAAAATGAGGAGAGGAAGAGAATATGGGAGGAGTTACAGGAAGTATTTGGGGATTTAAAAAAATCAGATGAAATTAGGATGTTTCAAAAGAAACCTGGCTCAGCCGTGCCTTAAGTCTAATTTTCTTTTCGTGTACTAGATTACTTTGGATAGTCCCAGGTGCCATCTCTCATTTACTATTAATGATTCATATGAGTTTTAAGATTTGTGAAGGTACAAAGAAAAGCTAAGTGTTTTATAGTCACCTTATATGGAGAGATTATAATTTATCTTGGATTCTTTCTTTCTGCCCAGTTCACTGTATCTCAAGCCCTGAGGAATCAGGTGCTTGCTCTCGATGGTATTAGAAGCCGGCGTCTCTGAGCTGTTGTTAAATTCATTCATTCAGACTTTTTTCCTTTCAGTTTGTTACTTGGTTCATTACATTTTCAGTGTATAAAAACACTAAACTGATTGGTCCAAAACTCATTGCATTTTATTTTTAAGATAGGTCAGTTTGTTTTAACTGTTATTTCTCTACCTCAAAAATTAAAATGGCTAATATGCAAATACTGCAAAAGAGGTTATCCAAACTAATAAAAAACATCAATACCCAACAGATAAATTGAACAAGGACTTGACCTGGCAGTTCATATGAAAGGTAATAATAAACAAACATGAAAAAATGTCCCACCTCACCGAGGAGTCAAGGAGGGTAATATGCATTACTGACCATTTGAGAGCTCCTACTCTTTGTTTCAATAATCCCAACTTTTAGAAATTTATCCTAAGAAAATAACTAAAATGTAGAAAAAATTTTATGCACAGTGGAGTGCGTTTTAGTACATCTGGGGTTGGAAAAAAGCAGAGTCAGCTCATAGCAGGAGCAGCAGCGGGAAATGTGCCTCAGTATATCATAATTCATAGAATACTATGCAGCCATGAAAATTAAAATTTTGAAGACTACACTACCCTCAAAATACATAGCATTGTATATTATATGAAAAAGGCAGAAAACCCACTTGAATGTACACAGGTATAAAATTATGTTATATATACTCATGGACAAGGATTAGAACATAAAAAAAGGAAAACGGGCCAGCCCAGTAGCATAGTGGTTAAGTTAGTGTGCTCGGCTTCAGTGGCTCGGGGTTCGCAGCCCTGGGCACGGACCTGCACACTGCTCATCGAGCCATGCTGTGGCAGGCATCCCATAAAAAGTAGAGGAACATGGGCATGGATGTTAGCCCAGGGCCAGTCTTCCTTAGCAAAAAGACGAGGATTGATGACAGATGTTAGCTCAGGGCTAATCTTCCTCACCAAAAAAAAAAAAAAAAAAAAGGAAAACAGATTGGTTTTCTCCAATGATTATTACTACTTTATTTTCTTTGAAAAAACTATTTTGTTGTTTATTACAATTAATAAAAATTAGAAGAAAAAAATCTGGAAGAAAGTTAAGTAGTAACAAAGCAGAGGCCAGTTGTCAGCAGTTCTTTTCAGTGCCCGGAGCACTGGGGCTGCTCAGGAATCTAATTCATAGCTGGTTGTTGGTAACCTATTCAGATTTTTCCCAGCTAGGTAGTTCTTTATGAGTCTTGAGTCACTTTCAAATGCTAACCATTTTACTTGTAAAGTAATCTACCTGCTGATTTGTAAAAAACATCTTTAAGAGAAGGACTGAACAAAGTATATACTGAAAATACTTTTACTAGTGGGAATTTGGCAATTTTATTTTAAAGGGACTTGCATGAGTTTTTATAATATTCTTAGGAGACCAGAAGGAAGCGAGGTCTCAGTGTCTTTGTCATGGATTAGGCACAGAACATTTGGGTTGAGCTGGGAAAATAGCTCAGTTGCCGTCACTTGTTCCGTGTAGATCCCCTTGGGTGTTCCATTTGAGAAATAGTGGTATGGAATGTTTTCCCCTTTCTTTAGGCTATTAAATGTTTCTTTTTTCACTGCAGTTCTGAATACCAGTGTCTTTGGTTCCAAATACTTTGATTTTTCGCTTTGCTGAGAAAAAGCAGTCTACTTCTAGGCTTGCTACTATAGAGTCTTTCCCCAGTGGAATCTGGTACTTTGGAACAGTGTATTGTGATGATTTAGAACCTCTCTAGGGGCCGGCCCCGTGGCTCAGCGGTTAAGTGCGCGCGCTCCGCTGCTGGCGGCCCGGGTTCGATCCCGGGCACGCACTGACGCACCACTTCCCCGGCCATGCTGAGGCCGCGTCCCACATTGCAGCAACTGGAAGGATGTGCAGCTATGACATACAACTATCTACTGGGGCTTTGGGGGAAAAAAAATAAATAAAATTAAAAAAAAAAAAGAACCTCTCTAATAGATAATAGTGAATAGTACATCATTATAAGATATGGTGGTTCATGTGACTTTTTCCCCCAGGGCCCAGGAGGTGAGGCTGGTGAGGAAGAAGGCACCAGTCAGATTAATGAACAAGCCAGTTTTGCTGTAAACAAACTACGAGAACTAAATGAGAAACTTGAATATAAAAGGCAAGCTCTAAATTCTCTTCAAAATGCACCAAAACCTGACAAGAAGGTAATTCTTTCAAGGTCGTCTTTAAAAGTTTCCATTTTTTAAAATTTGATAAATAGTAGTTTTCAGTTTCTGTTGAGAAGTGTGACTATTTCTTTAAAAAGAATTTTAACTGGGAGTAAGTTCTGTGGTTTTGTTTTTGCTTCTAATATAGAATTACAAAAGCACTTGTTTTTAACCTTTTATGGTTGGCGGTTCTTTCTGATCATCAGCTGTTAGAGTAACCCTGGGTTCTTTTCTTTGATTTGCCTACTGTACCTTTGGGGAGGGGAGCAAAGCTTTCCCTTGTGCCAAAGTCATTTCTGGAAGTGAGTTAACTACTCAAGAGTTAACAATTTTTAAAGACAATCTTTAAAAATTTTGTTTTATTTCAAATGTTGCGAGTGCAATTTAGAGAAGCTCACAGAGTCATGCAAGCAATAAATGTTCTGCTAAAAGCCAACAGAATTTAAAAGTTTAGCATCTCACTAATTGGCATTTCTCAAACCCAAGAGGCTGTGTGCTTTGTGTTTATGCTTCTGTGCGGTCCAACAAGGAAGCTTCCCTAATGTAGGTGTGGCTGGCGCTCATTGATCTCCCCTGGCCCTTTCTGAGTGTGTGTTCAGAAACATAGTGATGAACATGCACAATGCTGTGCTGGTCTGTGGAGAGTCAGTGAAGTAGAGAGTCTGACATCTGCCCTTCGGGAGCAGATGTGCTGCTTGTGGAACCAAAACATACATGAAAATGAAGCAGATCGTCATAGCCCTTCCTGATGATAAAGGCAGGACGACGGCTCAGCAGGGAGTGCTTCCTGCAGGCTTTCTGAGGAAGGAAGGGGTCCTTGTAGACTCTGCTCAGGAGAGTTTGGGGGCAAAGCTGCTGTCTCAAACTACAGAGTTACATAACTCTATAGGTTTTCTCATAAAGGAGATCCAAGGAGATGGTAAGCATAGCATTTTTTAAAAAAGATTATTTATTTTTAAAAATTATAGTAAAGGGACCTGCCCGGTGGTGCAAGCGGTTAAGCGCGTGCGCTCCACTACAGCGGCCCAGGGTTCACAGGTTCGGATCCCAGGCGCGCACCGACGCACCGCTTGTCAAGCCATGCTGTGGCGGCGTCCCATATAAAGTAGAGGAAGATGGGCATGGATGTTAGCCCAGGGCCAGGCTTCATCAGCAAAAAAAAGAGGAGGATCGGCATCGGATGTTAGCTCAGGGCCGATCTTCCTTGCAAAAAAAAAAAATTGTAGTAAAATATACATGACATAAAATTTACCGTCTTAACCATTTTTAAGTGTACAGTTCACTGGCGTTAAGTACATTCACATTGTTAATGTAGCCATCACCACCATCCACCTCCAGAACGCATTTCGTCTTGTAAAACTGAAACTCATACCCATTAAACAATAACTCCTCATTCTCCTCTCCCGCCAGCCCCTGGCAGCCAGCATTCTGCTTTGTCTCTATGAATTTAGCTACTCTAAGCACCTTGTGTGGATAGAATCATACAGTATTCATCCTGTGACGGGCTTATTTCACTTAGCATAATGTCTTGAAGGTTCATCTATATGGTAGCATGTGTCAGAATTTCATTGCTTTTTAAGGCTGACTAGTATTCTATTGCATATATACAGATATAACATTTTGTTTATCCATTCAACGATCGATGGACGCTTGGTTTGCCTCCACATTTTGGCTGTTGTGAATAATGCCGCTGTGAACACGGGTGCACAAATATCTCTTGAAGACCCTGCTTTCAATTCTTTGGGGTATATATATATATTTATATATATACCCAGAGGTGGAATTGCTGGTCATGTGATAATTCTGTTTTTAATTTTTTGAGGAATCTCCACGGTGGCTGCACCATTTTACCTCCTCACCAACAGTGCATAAGGGTTCCAATTTCTCTGTATCCTCACCAGCATTTGTTAATTTCTGTTTTTTGATAGTAGTCATCCTAGTGGGTGTAAAGTGGTATCTCATTGTGGTTTTGATTTGCATTTCCCTAGTGATTAGTGGTGTTGAACATCTTTTCATGTGCCTTTTGGCCATTGATATATCTTCTTTGGAGAAATATCTATTCAAGTCCTTTGCCCATTTTTGAATTGGGTTGTTTGGTTTTTTTGTTGTTGAGTTTTAGGGGTTCTCTATCTATTCTGGATATTAATCTCCTGTCGGATATGTGATTTACAAATATTTTCTCCTATTCTGTGGGGTGCCTTTTTGCTGTGTTGATAGTGTTCTTTGTGCAATAGTTTTTAATTTTTATGAAGTCCAATTTGCCTGTATTTTCTTTTGTTGCCTGTGTCTTTGGTGTCATAGCCAAGAAATTATTGCCAGTCCCATGTCCTGAAGCTTCCCCTCATATTTTCTTCAAAGAATTTTGTAGTTTTAGCTCTTACATTTAGGTCTTTGATCCATTTTGAGTTAATTCTTGTATATGGTATTAGGTAAGGGTCCAACTTCATTGTTTTGCATGTGGATATCCAGTTTTCTCAGCACCATTTGTTGAAAAGACTGTCCTTTTCCAAACATTGATGGTTTTGGCACCCTTGTCAAAAATCATTTGACCATATATGTAAGAGTTTATTTCTTGTCTCTCTCTTCTATTCCATTGGTCTCTATGTCTGTCTGTATGCCAGTAGCATACTGTTTTGATTAGTGTAGCTTTGCAGTAAGTTTTGAAATCAGGAAGTGTGAGTCCTCCAAATTTTTTCTTCTTTTTCAAAATTGTTTTGGCTGTTCAGTTACCCTTGAGATTCCATATGAATTTTAGGATGGATTTTTCTATTTATGAAAAAACATCATTGGGATTTTGACAGGGATTGCATTGAATCTATAGATCGCTTTGAGTAGTATTAATATCTTAGCAATATTTAGTCTTCCAATCCATGAACATGGGATGTCTTTCCATTTATGTCCTCTTTAATTTCTTTCTTCAGTGTTGTGTAGTTTTCATCGTAGAAGTCTTTCACCTCCTTGCTTAAGTTAATTCCTAAGTATTTTTTATGCTATTATAAACGGAATTCTTTTCTTAATTTCCCTTTTGGATTGTCCATTGTTAATGTATAGAAACACAGCTGATTTTTGTGTGTTAATTTTGTTTCCTGCTACTTGGCTGCATTGCGTAGCATTTTAAATGATTTAGTAACTCCCAGGATGTTTTCCTCGAGGCAGATTGTTTCCAAGTTGAAGGAGGAAATAATTCTAATAGAGAAAGAACGCACGGACCTTCAGCTGCACATGGCAAGAACAGACTGGTGGTGTGAGAACCTTGGCATGTGGAAAGCCTCCATCACTAGTGGAGAGGTAGGTTTGACTGCTTTTCTTGCCAATTTATTTTAACTGTTTGACTTTATAAGGCAAGATTTTGTCCTGGAGAATTAAGGTCAAGGATAGAAAACTTATATTTGTTTTTTTAGACTGCATGTGTCCTACCTTCGTCCCCCATATTTTCACTCTGGTTCACCCGTGACTGGAAGCTGTACTAGGTTTCCTGGTATAGAGCTGATCTCACTCCCTTTCAGACAGAAAGTTGTCCTTGTTCACTGGAATTGTAAGCAACTTTCAATAGGAACAATTAATGTCCTTGAATTACCAATTTATTTTTCTGTCAAGGGTTGAAATAAGATAGAAAGCACTACTTGAAGTTTGGAGATGAAAAATTAAAAATTTAAGTGGTGTATCTGATTGTGCCATATTGCTAACTTCAATTGCTCAAGTGTCAATAGCTCTAAGATCTTTAATAATGAATATTTTTGCCTTTGAATTAGAAAATATTTTGCTCTTCTCCAAGGAGTGTGGAATAATAGTGTTCAGAATATTCTGTATTGTTTTTCTTTTGTCTATAAAAATAATTTCCTTTAAGGGAAGGATGCTTATAGGCATTTACGTTGTTGGCAACTCCTTCCTTCTCACCTGTCCTGCTCTCAATCATGTGGAAACCTGGAGATGAAAGTCAGGTCCACCATATGGTACACTAATAACAAGATCCTGAGTGAGACAGTGTTAACGTTTTGCCCCATCATTGTTTCAGATGGCTTGTCAGATACTCCTTAGATTTGCAAGGGCCTATCTGCCCAGCTTATCTTTGTTCATCCCTGCCTTTCCCATCAACCCAGTGGCTTGACTTACTAGGGGGAGGGCTTAAAATTCACAATAGAAATTCACCTATAGTTAGATTGCAAACCAGAGCACCTTCTGCAAGAGCTACCCGGAAAGCACACACATCATGTGAAAGCTGAACCAGGTGCCCTAGCGTGTCTTTGGCACTTGTTGGCGCTCCCATTAAGGTAAGCTGCAGGGCACTGTGCCTACTCTGAGGGGAGGCAGAGGGCCAGGGATCAGGGAGGGTGCACTCAACCTTGGCGTACCACAGAGAAACCCTTGATAATTGCAGATGCAGTTATCTTTGGGGTGTAAGTCTAGGAAGGGGGTAGGCTCAGGAGTATGTAATGTGGAAAGGTAGTAGAGGAGGGAAAGAACACACATTCTGTCACCTCCTCGGTGTTGCCTAGAGCTGCTCTGACATTTCGGTTTATTAAAATCATCTTCCAAAGGCAAACACTGAGGGAGAGAAGGAGGAAAAACCCTCACAAGGCACTTTGCCCTGATGATCAGTTGTTACTCAGAGCTTGCTGTGGCGCCTTAGTCACTGAAAAGGTAATGGAAATGGACACAGAGGAGACCCCACTTGACAGAGGGGAATGTGTGGAAGGTATGTTTGCATCACGCCAGACCCTCCTGAGTTCTGATACTGGCTGATCCGCTTACTAGGTATGTGAGCCTAGGACAGTCCAGTGACAGTGTCTGGGCCTCCACTTCCCCCATCCTTACAGATGGATAATAGTCCTACCACACGGGGCTCAGTGTGGGCTCAGTAAGTCTTGCGTCTCTTTCCTTTGCCTTTCTTATTGACTCTTGCTCTCTAATTGGAATTGGATTTATGATACTAATTCAAGCTTCAATTCACTGTATTTTCTTTTTGTTTCTTCTCTTATGTATTTATGTTAAGAGTAATAGTGGCCTATTCTGAATTATGATGGTGTGTTTGTGTGTATGTATGTATGTGTGTTTATGAATTATCTCAGTTGGGAAGTGGAGGAAATTATGTCTCCCAATGTAAAATTTCATGAAAATAGAAATGATGGTTTGTTGAATCCTGAAATTAAACTGGGAAAGCCCTCATCCTTCTCTGAGAGAGGTTTTGATGTATCTCACACCACTTTACTTGCTGTTAATTTGTTTGTTTGAGGAAACACAGCTAGGATGTTAAGTCTGCTATATTAAGTCTGTTTTTTGGGTTTTTTTTGCTGTATAACAAATTACCACAAATTTCTTGGCTTCAAACAATACCCATTTATTAGCTCACAATTCTGTAGGTCAAAAGTCCAGCATGGTATGACTGCGTTCTCTGTTCATTGTGTCACAAGGCTGAAATCAAGATGTTGACCAGACAGAGTTCTTGTCTAGAGACTCTGGGGAAAAATCCACTCCCAAGTTCATTCAAGCTGTTGGCAGAATTCAAGACCTTTTTGTTGTGGAACTGGGGTCTCTGTTCTCTTGCTGTCAGCTGGGGGTTGTTCATTGTTCTTAGAAGTATTCCCAGATCCTTTCCACATGTCTCTCTCCATCTCGAAGCTACCATGACACATCAAATCCTCCTTGTGTTCCAGTCTTTCTGACTTCCTCTTCTACTACTAACCAGAGAAATCGCTCTGCTTTAAAGGGCTCGTACCATGAAGTTAGGCCTACCCAGATAATCTCCCTATTTTAAGGTCAACTGTGCCATGTAATAGAACCTAATTGTCGGAAGAGAGTCCATCATATTCACAGTCCCGGGGATTATGCAGGGCATAGACGCCAGGGAGAGGGAAATCTTGGGGGACATTAAAAATGTTGCCTACCACATCTGCTCACCATGCTTGTTGTTGTTGTGTTTGTGTTTTTTTCCAAGGTTACAGAAGAGAATGGTGAGCAAATGCCTTGTTACTTTGTCATGGTAAGCTTACAAGAAGTTGGAGGAGTTGAAACCAAGAACTGGACAGTCCCCAGAAGGCTCAGTGAGTTTCAGAATTTACACCGGAAACTTAGTGAGGTATGAACACTCGTGAGCACAAGAATTTAGACTTAACTGAGCAAGAAGAGATGTAAGAGCTCATTTCAATTTTTACGCATAAGGAAACTGATTCATCTTTCTCCTTTGCTGTTGATACTGGCAAGTGGCATTTTCAGCCTGACATTTAGAAATTTACTCATAGATCAAATCATCTAGTCTAGTCTAAATCCTCGGGACAGATAATACTCTGATCTCCTTAGTGAATTGTCACAGAACCCCAGAGCCAAAGGAGAGTTAGGGATCCTCTAGGGCCAGTGGTTTCGAAGCTGCCAGTTGTGACCCGTTAGTGGGTAGTGAAGTCAATTATGGGTTGCAGTAGGAGAAAGAGAATAGAACATATTGGGTTTCATCACAAAGAGTAAAGGAGTCGGTCAAGTGTCGTGGTTGAAAGCACAGACTCTGGAGCCAGACGGCTCGAGTGTGGATCCTGGCTTGACTACTCGTGAGCTATGTGACCTGGGACTTGTCTCTCTGTCCCTTTGTGCCTTGTTTTCTTCATCATTGAAATACAGATATTGATAGCACCTCCCATACCTATCTCAGAGTTGTGAGAATTAAGGGAATAAGTGTATACAAAGCATTTAGAGGAATGTCTAGCACATAATAAACATTATTGTGTTGTTGTTATTACTAGGAGCAGTAATGAGCGTTGTTTCATAGAACTTTTTATTTCAGTTTTATATGCGTGTGTATATTATATACATGGATATGGATATATGCATGTGCATTGGGGGCTGCAATGTAGCGTGTATTTCCTACTGTGGGTTTTTGTTAAAAATGTTGGAAAGCCACCAATGTAGGTCAATTCTTTTATTTGTGAGATGAGGGAAACTGATCTCAGAGAGTGTCACTGACTTATCATAGGATGTGTACACATAGTGGCCAGACCAGGGTTAGAATCCAGGTCATCTTACTTTCAGTTCATTATTCTTCCACTTTCCTCAGGGATTCTGTATTCCTAACTCTCCTCCTATGGGAGGTGATTGCCCTTCCCCCCAGCAATTAAAAAAATTCTTCCATCATTTCTATTTTCATTTAGATCCGTTTTTCTCTTGCTCAGAATGAACTGATACTGGTAAACCCTGTGGTCACCTCTCAGACCCCACTTTTGCAAATGAAATATGTCTGTTTCCTTTAACCTTTTTTGTTAGGGTGATTTTTTTTTTAACCTTTTAATCTCTACCTTCTGAATGCTGTTACTTCTTCAACTGCTTTTGAAACGATGGTGGCCAAAACTGAAGGTCATACTACAGCATTTCTCAAATGGACTAGGATCACCCTAGCAGTGTGGAAAGCAAATATTTATCTTAATATAAGAATAAATGTTTCCCAAAATTATTGAGTAAATTTAACACTGCAATGAAAAATGCATCGTTTGCCCTGTGCCCAACCATTGTGATGCCAAAGATTTGTATCAGTCTACTGGCTGATAAAAACCGAAGGGAAAGGAAAAAGGAATTTAGGGAAGATTTTGAAATAAAATGTATGTGGAAGATGAAATGTACTTTGAAAATCAAAAACAATGACACTGAGGTGTTAGAGGAAACAAACTTTATGAACTTCCACGTCTGTCCTTTGGTCTCGTCGTCACCTCTCGTCATCTGTGGCCTGAGGACGGGGTTCGTCTCCTACCCTTGCTATTTCCTGTCGAGTGGATTTTCATTTTCTGAAGGAAGCCTTCCTGTTCACAGCTGTGACAGGAAGCTCGCCTTCAGGTCCCTGGTGAGTTTAATCGCCCCTTCCAACTCTCCCTGGCTGTTTCAGTTCCTCTAAAATTTTGCCCTGACTTTGAACCCTGATGAAAATATCCTTCGTGGGCAGACACCATTGTGCGTTAGTGGCTGCGTAGGTAAGGCCAGTTCTTCCTCTTCTAACACTGGAAGCACTTACATGCACTGGCCACACGAGACTTGTTACGCGCTGTCCCTTGCTATGGCCAGGCTGGCGGGGGCTACCGTGACCCTGATGATGGCAACAGGAGTAACAGCTGTGGCAGGCAGACTCTGTGCTCACTTACTTTTCAATACCGGTTGATTTCATTAAGCATATTCAAATGGCCCCGGTGCCGTGATGACGGCCAGGGTTTGTCAATGGGGGCAGAGTCTGCAGCCTTTGGAACCCACTATCCTCCTCGTGTCTGAGGGGCAGACTGGCAGAGTCCTGTGGGGATTGGCATTAACAACACAGACTTTGGGCCGGCCCCGTGGCTTAGCAGTTAAGTGTGCATGCGCTCCACTGCTGGCGGCCCGGGTTCGGATCCCGGGCGCGCACCGACGCACCGCTTCTCCAGCCACGCGGAGGCCGCGTCCCACATACAGCAACTAGAGGGATGTGCAACTATGACACACAACCATCTACTGGGGCTTTGGGGGAAAAATAAATAAATAAAATTTTAAAAAAAAGAACACAGACTTTATCATCAGTTGGATCTGGGTTTTAATCCTGATTATCAGTCGTCTCATATGTAAAATAGGAATGCTAATAATTCGCAACTTGTAGGGCTGTTACACATGCCAAGCAGAAGCAGAGTGTCTGGCAGAATGTAGGACTTAATCCACAACGGGAAGTCGATTGTCACTATTTATTAATATATTTTATTCTTATTAATATAGTTACACTCTGCAGTTTGCCATCAAAAGGCCGTAATAAAGGTAGAACCCAAACGATTCTGATTCTTTTTCCGTTGTCTTCTTTTGTCAACTTTGATAACTTCTTACAGAGATGTCGTAAACAAAACATATTTTAATAGAAAAACCTTGTTCCTGAGAGCCAGGTGTCCATACCTCACATGTTGTGCTACATGCATGTTGTGCAAATCCAGCTTATGGGCCTGGCTTCAGGATTTCCCGGCTTCCGGGCATTCATGGGTCTAGGGACGAGCTTTAGCTTTTTTTGTCAAATGTCCCATTCCTCCAGATTCTTCGAGCCTGATTAGAACAGGTAGGTTTCCAAGGTCTTAAATCTCAGAGGAACGAGGACAAGAGGAGGATACTTGGTTTGTTCTAATTAAAATGGTAAATCTTTTTGTAAGATTAAAATGTAATTTCCAGATACTAACATTTAATTTTTTTCCCCACAGTGTTTCCCTTCTTTAAAAAAAGTCCAGTTGCCTTCTCTCAGCAAGCTGCCTTTCAAATCTATAGATCACAAGTTTATGGAAAAGTCAAAGAAGCAATTGAACAAGTTTTTACAGGTAAGCAAGTGAAAAGTTTTGGACATGAGAGGAATAATTAGTTATTTTGGGTTAAACTGTCATCATTCAAAGAGCTTGCTCGTTTGCTTCCCGTTGTCACAGGCCATGCCAGATCCTCAAAATGTCTGGTCTTTTTTTTTTTTTTTTTTGAGTAAATAAAGTATACCATACATACAGAAAATGCAGATGATATGTGTACAGCTTTCTCTGTTTTCACAATCTGAACACACCCTTGTGGCTAGCACCCAGTCCACGAAACAATATTGCCAGTACCTCCAGCTTCCTTCCATCGCTGCTTCCCCCACCAAAGGGAACCCCGATCCCGGCTTCTCACAACACAGATAGTTACAAGTGTTCTTGAACTTCATATAAATGGAATCATATGGTATGGACTTTTTTGTGTCTGACTTCTTTCACTCGACGTTATTATGTTCCTGAGATTCATCCTCATGACTGCTATTTTAGTTGTAGATCATTCGTTTTCACTGTTTAGGTTTTTCATTGTGTGAATACACTACAGTCTATTCATTCTATTGTTGAGCATTTGGATAGTTTCCAGTTGGAGGCTATTATGAAGAGAGTTTCTATAAACTTCTAGTACTTGTCTTTTGGTGACTATGTGTTGGGTAATACCTTTGTGTTTTTCAGTTTTTCAAAGTGGTTGTAGCAATTTTTACACTCTTACCAGCAGTGTGTAAGGGGTCTGATTGCTCCACACCCTCCCCAGTGCTTAGCCATTCTGGTGAGTGTGTACTGGTATCTCATTGTGGTTTTAATTTGCATCTCCCTGAGGACTAATGAGGTTAAGCACCAGTCATATGTTAATTGGCCATTTGGATGGTTTATTTTGTGAAGTTAAAGTCCTGTCTACTCCTCAGTCCTGTTGTCTGTCTTTTCTGTTTCCCTCCGTAGGAGTCTGTGTGTGTTTTGGATGTGAGTCTCCTGTCAGACCATGTGTGGTGCACATATCTTCTCCCTTTCTGTGGATTGCCTTTTCAGGCTCTGAATGATTTCTCTTAATGAACAGAAGTTCTCAATTTTAGTTTAGTCCAGTTTATCAGTTTTTTTCTTGTACAGTTAATGCCTTTGTGCTTAAGAAATCTTGGGCTACTCCAAGGTCCTAAAGATATTTTCCTAATTTCCTCTAAACACTGTTTTCCTTCAGTCTGTTTTAGAGAGTAAGGCTGGACAAAGGAATGCCATCCCCAGTAGCAACCACTATTTATTTTTTTCCTTAGCTAGGCCCTCTGTATTCAGAGTATAGTTAAGTTACTCAAACCATGGACCCCGAAGCCCTTATAGTTCTCAGAGGCATGCAACTTTGCCGATGCAGTAGTAGCTAGAAGTCCTGAGATTAGTAAAGGCTATATTAAAATATAATCGTTGACTTAGAAGTATGGATCATAGTTAAAATAGATACATTTAAGCCAGAGTTGCCTTGAAAGTGTTAGTCTTTTTTTCTCATATATTTCTCTTTCTGTCTCTGTGTGTGTGTGTGTGTGTGTGTGTGTGTGTGTGTAAATTTCCCTCGGGAAATAAAATTAGAAAAATTTTCTGAGTTCATATGGCAGAGCTGGGGTAGAGGATCATTAATGTTGAAATGCTCTTACAGGAGAGAATTTAAAACTGAAATATCACTATTTTGTTGCTGATTCAGAATGTCTAGGAAATATTAAACCCACTCAAGCATGGTACCTGATTAAATCATTCAGAAGAGTTAAAGATCTTGTTTGTGAAACGAATGTGTGTTACTCAGAATCCAAGCCCCAGATGTGTAGCTTTGGAACTCTGCAGCTGACTCAGGTTTCCCTCCAGCCTCTGCTGTTGGGGAGGGTCTCAGTTTGCTCCGTCTTCCTGATGTGCTGCAGAGACTGCCCTCATGCCTGCATTTTCGGGGATGCGAGGAGGGGTTGTCTATGCCCTTAGTGGACTGTTGGTGAGGGAAATGGGTTAGTGAGTCCTGCTGTTGTGCCAGGAGAACCGTGCACTCCAGCGCACTGCGGGTAGGTGGTGTGGGCATGGCTGGGGGCAAGGAAAAGCTGCAGCTAAGCCAGATGACACAGTGGTCTCAGGTGGCCATTTGTCTTTTAATCAAGAGGATTTTAAGTCAGGAAATAATGGGTTAAATTGTTTTTCATTTCCTCAAAGACTTTATTTGAAAGTGCTAACTAACTGTTCAGTATCTTTAGGTAGGTTACACAGCAGACTGCAGTTTCAAAATATTATTCCACCAATTGCAAACAGGAAAAGTAAGATGTGAAAAGTTTAGTCTGAAGAGCAGATGTTTTTAAGTCCATAGAACCTTCCAGAAAAAGAGATTCCACTGAGTATATGTTTATGTGAATGTTTATTTATGACATACGGTTCCCTATCGAGGCATACTAATAAGACAGATATTTAATAATCTAGCTAATCATTCTTGGCGATGCCATCACTTATGTTTTCATTCCTACATGCCATCTTTGCTGATCCTCACGTACACATACCACTTACTCCAGCCATTGCCCCCAGTAGCACTCTGCCCCACTTCTGGGTGTGCACATGCTGTTCACTCTTCTTGGGATGCTTACACCTTTCTTCATCATCCTCTGAGCAGTCTTAGGTCTTCACTAGAAGAGAATGACATGCTCTCAGTGTTGTGGGGGAAGAAGTTAGGAATGGGAATCCATTTTTAGAGAGCTTAAAGATTATAAAATCCCAATTATGCCTTACTCCACAGGCATAATCTCTGAGAAAATTTCTGACTTTTCATACATATTTAATTTGGTCATTTTCCTTCATAATAGAATATAACTTAGGCCAAAGACTTATCACCCTTAATGATTTCCTTATTTATATTGATTGTATTAAGTTAGAGGCTTACCATTAGTTATCATTTCCTACTGTTTTATAGAATAATGATGGAGTATAGATTAGCTAAAGGAAATAAAGTTAGGGGGAGAATGTCTCACTCCTCCTAAACCACCCTCATGCACAACTGAACATTTAAATACTCTGAAAAAGGAATAAAGGCCTATTTATTGGGCTCAGGGGCCACAAAAGGCAGTAGTGACCCGCCTGCCCATCCCCTTAATCTCCCTCCCTCCATGTGAGGCAGAACCTTCCCATCTTCAGGCCAGTCTTCTGCAGGATACGTGAAGCTGGCAACCACTGGAATGCTGGTGGTGCCACTTGGACCCCCTGGCCCCACTGTGGCAGTATTGGGCACATTCAGAGGTGCTTATTCTAGGGAAGGTCATAGGGTTTATCAGATTTCAGCCTTTGCCTCGACAAATATAACGTGAACAACATGGACCAGCTCCTCTGACTAGAATTGAACCTCGTCTGCCACTCCAATTTCTGTCATTAGAAGCACAGTCTGCTCCCCAGGGTTCTGTCTCGCCCAAGGGGCTTATATCATAAATGAGGCAGTATTTCCCATTGTTTTATTTATTCCTAAACCCTGTACCTTTTAATACTAGACACTTAAACCTTCTTGTGGTCACATTGTTAATTTTACTGTTTTATCCGTAGCCCTTGTTTGTACATGAACGGACGTGAATCACGTCCTCCTTTCCTCTCCCCTAAGGCCAGATAAGTACATAAAGAACTTGAGGAAATTTCCAGGTGAAGGGCCAGTAAACCAGCTATATAATTACACAAACAAGCACTGCCTGGAGGGTGGCAGCACAGTGAAGTAAAACAGTTGCCTGGCAAGCAGGGCCTCCCTGTGACAACTCAGAGTTCTTGTTTCGGCTGATGTACGAAGTCTGAACATAACCGTAAAAGGGTGCTTGAATGGTATCCTTGTGTAATGTGCAAGTACGTAAGGTGTTCACACAAACGAGTGGAGGTTAAGCTGACTTTCAAAGGCAGTGGTCCCGGGATCTGTAAGCTGTGTGCAGAGGAATTTTGTGTTGCACTGAGCAGTGCAAAATGGAGTGAGTTCTGTTGTCTGCACAGTATCTCCCACAAGCAGAAGGGTTAGGACACTCCAGTTAACCTAGAGGGGATTGTTTGCCATTCAGATCATTGATAATTGATCTAATATATTTTATTTCAGGGGGAAAGGGAAGTGGTTTTAGGTTCAGAATTATGATGAATTCACAGTCAATTCTGCCTTGTTTGTCTCTACTTGTGGTAGCTCCCCGCTACCACTCCTATATAGGAGTGATTCATCCTCTTCCTTCCACAGAATCTGCTTTCAGATGAAAGACTGTGTCAGAGTGAAGCACTTTATGCCTTTTTGAGCCCTTCTCCTGACTACCTCAAGGTTATTGATGTGCAGGGGAAAAAACCCACTTTTTCATTATCCTCATTTTTGGAAAGACTTCCTCGTGACTTCTTCTCTCATCAAGAGGTGAGCTGTCTAAAGGGTGTACCATTTTCATAGCGTACTTAAGCAAATGTCTTTTTGAAGCCTGTCTGAAGTAACAGATGTTTTTTAAAAGCTTGCTGCTAGTGGGGAGAAAGCAAATACATCCATGGTCAGTTATGATTGCTGTCGTATTTGGGGACACCAGTTTGTGCTCCCCTACAAGCCACTTGGAAGAGTTAAGATACAGAAATGAAAAGACTCATAACAAGGTGGGTAAGTGAAATGTGGACAGGAAGTTCTGTAGGACTCTCTACAAAATGAGTGATAGCCAGTCCCTGGGGATGGGGCCGGTCATTATGAGGAGTTGGAGCTAAGATGGAAGGTTTGGGAGAGGAGGATGTGTTTGAAGAACAGTCAGTATGTCAGGGAATGGAAAACCATGGAATATTTTGAAGCGAGATGAATTTAGTGGAGATATATATGGGTAAAGGAAAGAATAGAGAGAGACTGCAGACATTTGCGATCTTATATAAGCTCCTACCTCACGTTTAGGCCACTGAAGCCCCTTGTTTGACTCTCCAGCAAATTGCACGAGACCATCTCCGAAATTTGGCATCTCCTTAGTTCGTTGCCAAATGCCACTGCCTCTTCACTAGGGTTGGTTTAATGAGTTTGGACAGAAGGAACTGACAATGAAAAGGAGCATGCTGTTTTACTGCATTCTGAGCTGGGAGGAGACGTCAGTGTGTACCATAGAGCATACCTACATCAGCGTTCAGGTCTTTGTGTAAACCCTCTTCCCTCCCAAGTGTCTCTGTCTCTCCCTCCTCTTTCCTTGATGGCCATACATATGACGTCTGGCTGTACTTGGCTAGCTTACCTCCACTACCTCCCATGTATTCCTGAACCCCTTGGAATTTACATTATGGCCAGTCCCTTCATGAATTAGTCTCTGAAGGTGAGCGCCAGTGGCCAAATCCAGTGGCTTCCTCTCTGTCTTCACCTTCTTCAACCTCTTTGCAGCATTTTGTGTTGCTGGACTTCTTGTAAAGCTGTGAAGTTTTAGGGAACTCCTCCTGCCTCTATGACTTCTCAGTCCTTTCCTCTGCTCATCCAGTCCCCCAGAATCCTGTCCTTAGCCCTCTGCTTGGTCCCACGACGTCAGCCTCTCTACCTGTCTGCCTCTGCACACTTTCCCAGCTGTCTTTCCACTGCCTAGTGTTTGTCCCTCTCTGACAGCACTTCACCTGCTTGTAGAAGCAGCTCCGTGCATGTGTGTCAGTCTCCGCAGAGAGCTGTGGGCCACTGAAAGTCTGGGTCCACATCGCACTCCTTTGCGCTAGTCTGGCGCCTGGCGTGTAATGAGTTTTGAACTGAAACTTGCTGATATGCAGATCAGGAAATGAGACTAGCCGAAGTACAGAATAAAATCTTGAATCAGAGCTTTAAAAATAACTAAATTAGTTTAAAATATACGTTTTTTTTTTTTAAAGTGAATTTAAAATCATACAACTTTTATAACTCAAAATGGTTAGAAAACTATTTTCTCATCTTCTAATTCACTCTTGATTCATACAGTGACAGAGCTTTTTCAAAATTATTTTAAACCTTGATAAGGCTTTAGGATCAAGCTTTTCCCTGAGGTTAGATACATTTGGCCCCTTTTATTGAAAATGCATAGATTTCTGCATGTAGGAAAATGGAAGGGTTATGTAAGGTTGAAATATGAGCACATAGTTTGGAATTTGCACTTGAAAAAGGAGAACAACTCTACCAATTTTCCTGGATAAGTGATCTGCTTCCTGTGACTTTTCTGTACCCGCAGGAGGAGACAGAGGAGGACAGTGACCTGTCAGATTATGGTGACGATATCGATGGGAGGAAGGACGCCTTGGCTGAACCATGCTTCATGTTGATTGGGGAGATTTTTGAACTTCGAGGAAGTAAGCCTCTTTGTTATTACTTAGTGGTATTTGCTGGGTAAGTGGTGCACACACACATATTTAATATCCATTTATTCCTGAATCAGACATGAATTCCTGTTCATTCATTTATTCAGGAAATACTTTTAAGGGCCAACCAGATACTGTGGTAGGAGCTGAGGATACAACCTTAAGACAGTATCATCTCTGTACTCACGGAACTTAAGGTCCTGAGATACCCTGTACCATGTTTCACTGAATACTGAAGGAGAGAGTGCTTTGAATTTCTTTTTATGTGACTTAGCATAGCCTCATTGCTTTATCACCAAAAAGTATCCAGAAAATAATTTTGCAGAGCAGAGGAAGAGTCCTGTTGTTGAAGGTGGGGTTTTGATGCTCCTGAGATAGTATTATAGCCAGGGACACTGGAATGCCTCACCCCGACTTTTCAGCCACCTTTCTTCCCCTAGAGGAGTGGTTATCAGTGGAGGGGTGGGGGAACTTTGTCCCCCAGGGCACATTTGGCCGTGTCTGGAAACATTTTTGGCTGTCACAACTTGAGGGATGGTGCTACTGGCATCTTTTGGGTAGAGGCCAGGGATGCTGCTAAATATCCTACGATGTACAGGACAACCCCCCACAACAGAGTTATCTTGCCCAAAATGACAATAGTGCAGAGGTTGGGAAATCTTACATTAGTAGTTCTTGAGGGAGATGTACTTAGAAGAAACAAGAACAAAAAGAGGATGAAAATACTATATTTGTTAAGACCTGCACAAATGCCTCTTCCCCAAAGTGGTACTTGGCTGAAAGGTCAAACTGTACTACTTGGCTTAGTCTTGAGTCCTGAGTAGGACTCTCTGCCCACCCATACCTTCCACAGCCCCCCAACACTCTCCATCATGAGACCAGTCTACTGGGTCATACCGGGAGCCTCACTACTAGCTAGAGATATCGCAGGTGCCTACAGGCACAACCAACCACCCAGCAGAGGAAGCAAATGAAAAGAGCAGGAGTTTGCAAGGCACTGCCACCAACGGCTAAAATCTTGTCCTGTGAATGTCCTGGGCTCTGTCCACTCCAATTAGCATCTCTTCCCCTGGGGTGAAGAAGGTAGGCTGGGAGTTGGTCCTGTATGGGAAATGGGGCTATGCATCCTTTCTTATTTATATATCCCTTAATGCGTCACTTTAAGAATTATTAACAGATGAAAAAACCTGAAGTCCTATTATAAACTTGAGCCTATCTTATGTGTCTTTTAGTCCTCACTATCAGCTGCAGTGCCTGATCCATACTAGGTGATCAATAAAAGAAAAATTTAAATGCTAGAATTAATTACCTTGGTCCTTGAAGTTTTTCTTCTCCTGTGCCAAAGCTAAACTGATATATAATATCAGTCAGCAAACATTTTGGGATCATATGTTTTAGATACAGCCCTGTAGGGGACACAAAAATATATCAGATATAGATTCTTCCTTCACTGAATTTACAACATAAGGGTTTCAAAAATGTAATTCACTTTAGCAGTACACACAATTAAATTCTAAACCACAGGCAGAGATTTATGTGTAAAGACGTTCATTTTAGCATAATTTCCATAATGAAAAGTTGGAACTAAGCTAAACTTCTGAAATAAGGGATAGTTAAATCATGTAAGAAATATCCATATGATGAAACTTTATCCAAATATTAAAGATCCTTTCAGATGAAAAAGCTATAGCTGTTCCATATTTTAGACATTTAAAGATATATACTGATGTTTAACTTGGTTCCCTAAGCAGTAAAACTAGTTTTCCACCCAAAGCCTGACTCTTCCTCAGTGAAATCTAGCCCATTAAATCGTGAATCCTCCCAATTTCCCATGGAGTTGATAAAAACGAGCGAAGCACCATCTCAGCCTTTTGTCAGTGTGTTCTTTGCGATACAAAGAGATTAAGAGGCTGGTGGATGTGTCAGAGCCAGTCAGGGCAGGAGTAGGGCTCAAAATGCCATCTTTGCAGCGTGCATTTCGTCCATCATATGCCAGCTCAGAAGCCTATTTGGTTTTGCTAGTGACATTTCAGGGTTAAAAATAGAGCATCATTTATAATGAGATGTGATGTATTTGCCATCAGCAAAATCCTAGTGTTGCTGCAGCTGCCTCTGTAGCTTTGAATAAATAAATCCTTGGAAGGAGTAATGGGGCTATTTTGTGTGTGGGGTGGGGGTGGAGGTTGGGGACTGGGGAAGGATAGGAAAAAAGTAGTAGAGTAAGGGGGATATCAGTCATGGGAGAGAATTTGTAGCAAAGCCATTTTTGGTTCCTACTCTGGTTTAGTATACAAAATGGGACCAGTAATACAGCCTTTTAAAACATTTATAAACAGTCACTCGGCTGTCAGGCATTCTTCCTAGAGTAGCACGTGCCCTCACACCCTCTGGGGATGAGCTTCCTCTCTCTGCCCTAGAAAGGCAGAGTGAAGTTATCAACACCGACAGACACGCTCCTCTCCGCCTAAACAGCAGCCTAAATGAACAAGTCTGCATGCGAGCAGCGTGCTCTGAATCCCATCAAAAATTTAGGGCACGTTCGAGGCATGGTTCTGCCTCCAAGACTTGACTCCTGCTTGGAGGATTAACAACACTACTTTAACTGGACATTTAGATCCATTTAAAAAGTTAGAAATGACTTTAGAATGTCTTAAAGTCTACTACCAACACTATGTTAATTGTTGATTTCCGTTTGTGTGTCTTCCCTGTACAGAGGTGTTTGTGAATTTGCTCCTTTTAGGTTTTCTGACTGGTGCAGGAGCCCTGAACTCGTGGCTCCGCTAGAGCCAGCTCTGAGTTTCTCACTTCCTCATGGGTCAGTAGCTAATAAACGTTTCACTGAAAGGAGGTGAATATATAAATGGAAAATTTGGTTTAGATTCTCATTTGTGGGCCTGAAATATCTTCACAGCGTTTCTTTGCCTTCTTTTGGTTTAGATTCATAGTCTATACTGATAAAAATGTGTCTCCGTGTTAATAATAAAAGTTGAGATCTGTGGAACCCTTCACAATACTATTTCGCACAAAATATTGACAAGACCCCCAGAGCAGAAAAACACACATTTAATGCTGCCCTATTCCAGATGAGGAAACGGGGCTCAGAGAAGGTGACTGCCCAGCTGCTCTGGGGAGTGGCCCAGGAGAGTGCTGAATTCACATCGCACTCAGCTTCGCAGTTCACCTTTCTTCCCCCAGAGGCATAAAACATATAAAAGTCTGCGATCATCTACAAACTACTGTTCAGATGGGAGCACCAGACCCATCAATTCATTAATATTTCAAAATATTTGTCAACATTGGACTACATATGTTTCTCATTGAGAGCAGTGTGTTAGGAAATTGGGTTCAACAAGCCAGACAGAAATCTGAAATAGGAATTGTACTGTCTGCTATTAGTAAATAGGAATTGTACTCGTGAAAAAGACATGCCGTCAGTAGCCCAGAGACATATGAAGTAAAGTATTATTTCGAATTGCTAGCTCAGCTGTTGTGTAGGCATTGAAATGCTACAAAAACTCTTAGGTGTCATCTCAGCAGTTGCAAGTAGAAAATGAAAGCTTAGGAGAATTTTCCTGGGCAGAAGTTTGCTAACCTAGACCCGAATTCTGCAGCTGTCATAGCCCTGACTTGGTGTCAGGACTCTGATTGAGTTAAGTGGTAAGATTTATGCTTTGTGCAGCTATGACAATGTTGTAATTGTGATATCCTTTGATAATACTTTGCCTCTGCTTTATATTTTAGTGTTTAAATGGGTGAGAAGAACATTAATTGCTCTCGTTCAGGTCACTTTTGGAAGAACCATCAACAAGTGAGTTGCACGAAGTTAATATTTGAATTCATGCCCTACCCTTTGCCTTAATAGTCAAATCTCCTTGTGGTATAGTAGCCAGTGATCTCTCTGACTGAAATTATTTTATTTTCTCTTACTTTTTGTTTCTGATATGATTCTAAGATTGGATAGGGAAGCAGATTTCTGAAAGAATTTCTGCCACAGAACGCATGGTGAACTAGTTGATAAAATCTTGAGCCATCTCCGGCATTCTGGCTGATGAGGGTCAGGAGATTCTGTTCTGTAAAGTTCTCTTTTGATCATGATGACCAATTTGAGGTTCTTGGGTACAGTGTTTTTATGTCACATGGTGGGAATCAGTTTAAGGCTTAGACTCTAAGCCAAAATGAAAGTAGGATGAGCATCAAATGGCAGGTACTTATTTGGAGGAAAATGCAAACCATATATTTTCTTAGAGTTGGGGTAACATTTAAATGGTAATTCTTCTTTTTTGTTAATATTTGAGTATCCATCAGGGGTATATGTATCATAGAATAATATTATAAGCCATATGTACATTTTAAACTATATTACATTATCCGTAAATACCTAAAAGCTTAACTGTACACCCAGTATTCTTCAAGAGATAAACATTATGACTTTCCTGCACAATAAAAATGTGTCAACTGCTGAAAGTAAGGGGAAAAAAATCACTTTTTTATACAGAAAAATGTTTTAAGATGAAATTATCAGATTTTTCCAAGTGAAAGATTAATTTAGTTGTCAAACATATGTACAAGGTTAATAGTTTTATCATGTAAACCTTCTACATTTTTATGAGAAACAACATACTATCTCTTTATTCATTTGCAAATAGAATATATTTTCCTTGTGGTCATAAACAAAAGTTTACTTCTGTTCATTTCTGAGATTTTTTAAAAAAGGATGTTAGTGTCTTGTTTAGTTGACTTAGTATTATAGGCTTTTATTTTGATGAGAAGAATAGCCAGTTTAACTTGCAGTTTCAGTCTAAGGCAAACCTCTCCACGTTAGTATCAACAGGCCTCGGATAAAGAAATTTCCAAAATGGCCCTATTTTTCTCAGGACTCCATACTCGCTCATTTATTTTCCTTTTCAGTTTCAGCAAATCACGCACTTTTCTCGCTCCTATTTATGATGTCGACTCTTAATTATAAAATGAGCAGCTGTGGTTTGTGAGTGGTGAATACATTTGGCAGTTATTTGCACGGGGCTGGAGGAGGGGCATCATGTAGAGAATTTTCAGGCTGTTCATTTCTACGGGCTTTTTATCAGGTAGAGAAATTATGGAGCACCTGGCCGTTTGCTGTTTTTGCCTTTCGCAGATGATGACACATCACACAATTAACCAGCAGCACAATCTGTGCCTCGTGCCTTGTACCAATGATAATTTCACTTACCAGAATCACTTCAGAAGCTTCCTACAGTTTTGGCTAATAGAAAGTCAGCCCTAAATAAATAGAAAATGCTTAGGTGATGGCCTTCGGTAAGAGTCACTTACCTAATTTAAGTTGCAAATTGAAATTTTCTTCATGTCTTCATGTAGTGTGAGTGAGTAACCCAAAACAAGACGATAGAAAAAACAAGACGTCTGCATTTTATATAGATTTTTCTTAGGCAGGTCGGCAGGTTCTCTTTTAAAAGCAGAAGTCCTGTTAAATGAGTAAAATTATTTTATTTGGTCTAGATATGAATTGCATAGTTCTAAGCAGTATAGGGGAGTATCTAAGGAGACAGGCAGTTATAAACAGAAGTAACGTAGTTTTGGCTCACAGTGGAGTTTAGACTTCAACAGTGACTGATTACTGTGTGCGAAGTACTGGGCTTGTAACATCTATTTCAGATACTATTTCTGAAAACCTTATATTGTCCCTTGAAAAATCTGGTTGGGAAGTCAGATTCTTAAAGGGCTTTTAGATTTATTATTCATGAATTGAGTTTGAAATTTCAGGTCTTTCTGGCACTAAGAGTCTAAGATGATTCTTTTCACCTTTCAGCAGAGATTTTGGGCTCTTTGAACTGTGTTTGCTTGTCTCTTGATAGCAGAAATCCTGTGATTGGTTAGAATTTGACTAATGACTAATGAAATAGGGTTTTGTTGGAGACCTGAGTAACCAGATAAAAACCATTTATTTATAACTGTGCAAGTCAGATGTCTGCCCAGTTTTCATTCCCATGGAAATTTGAAGTGGCTAGATAGCAGTGTATCTTTTCAAAGTCTTTCACTTTGTGTGAAAGGGACTATCTTCTTTTCCCTTGCCTTCGGTCTAAATTAGATGTTTACCCTGGGTTGGAATACTCTGCCCAGCATTATCGGCCATAGCAACACCAAGAGACAGCTAGTGAAAAAGCGTGATTCTCCCTCAGGACTTCAGGAGCTCAGGGAGATTTTCCAGACCACTGTCAACACTCTTTAAATGGATTTATGTTTTCAGTTTATACCTCTTCATGGAGAAATTAGTATATTAAGCACTGTGCACAATTAAGAGTAATTGCGATCTTCAAACAAATCAGTCAGTCTCCTCTCAGTTCTTGTCTTTGCAGATTGAAAGATACGGATGGCAAACATTTGGAGGAGTTAGTACCGATGAGACTGTGAGCTCCAGGAATGCATGGTCATCCAGTATTACCAAAATAAAAAATAACTTGCAGAGCCAGAGTTTAAAAATCTAATTCCTAGTTTATTCATCAAACATTTAGATCAGGCTGTATCTTAACCTACCCATTGATAAATGCCTTTTGAGAATAGAGCATAAAATTTTAAAAAACCTCATCCAAGAAATATTTTTCTGTTAAAAGACAAATCCGGGACACAGTGAACTGGATTTTCAGTGAGCAAATGTTGGTTTACTACATCAGTGTTTTCCGGGATGCTTTTTGGCCAAATGGGAAATTGGCACCACCGACCACAATCAGAAGCGAAGAACAGAGTCAGGAAACAAAACAGAGAGCACAACAGAAGCTGCTTGAGAACATTCCAGGTGAGGCCTGGGTTCCGATCCTGCAAAGGACAGAGATAAAGAGGGAATGTTAACCCTGTAAGGCATCTTTCATTTATATTGTTCAGGAAACATTAGTTACAGTGAAAAAAATGATCATACTTTTTTTTCTTTTAAATCATGTCTGGTTCTTTGCTAAAAAATTATACTGAGAGTCTTAATACAAACAGTACTGGTGATAATACTTTATTTTAACCAGAAAAATGTTCTAGAACAGATAATATATTTTGTGCTTTGAAAATCCTGCTAAAGTACAGTGTTTTGAGCCTTAATTTTTAGTTGGGTAGCAATGTATTAAAATTGTAGTTTGTATAAATGCCTTCTGTTGAAAAATTCTAAATAAACTTATTTTCTCTTTAAACATTTGAAAGAACTGGTCATTCATGTTCCTCATGCCTCACTGCCTGTATTTATTGTGTATGTATCATGGAATAGCTCCTTCCCTGAATATCTATGCCTTGTGCAGTTGATCAATAACAGCATAGAATATAAACTTCATTTTTCAGATACACTTCAGAGCCTTGTTGGACAGCAAAATGCCCGTCATGGTATAATAAAAATATTCAATGCACTGCAAGAGACACGAGCCAATAAGCATCTGATATATGTGAGTAATGTAAAGCCTACCAGAGGATTAATTATTTCTTCAGTTGTACATTTCTGTTCACGTATGGGGGTAGATTTTAATTGTTTATATTCTTAATCATTCTTATTACTTGTAACTGAGCTCATTTTCTTAGCTTCATTTTTGTTTGTTCAATTTGGGTAAAAAAAAAAAAAAAGAAAAAGTACCCCCAGTGGATGCAGCATTCTCATTCTGTCATACTAGTTCTCTCTCTTGACTTGATTGGTTTTCTTATCTCAGCAAAGCAAACTGTTTCCCAGTCGTCTGTCTGATTATATTTAGCAATATCAAATATCGTTGATGGTTTGATAATGGTTAACAGACTATGAAATAAATATTAATTTCATTTGTTTGAGAGTAACTTGTTCACTGAGCATAATCTCAGACCTAAAGTTAGACTTTTCTCTTAGACATAGATATTTATTTTGAGTAAACCCTTAGAGACAAAACACGTTTTCCCACTTTTTTCTTCTTTTTTGGTTCAGGTACTGATGGAACTGCTGCTAATTGAATTGTGTCCTGAGCTGAGAACTCATTTAGATCAACTTAAAGCTGGCCAAGTTTGAGACTGCACAAATAAACCACCAGAGAAATGTCTGTGTAATAATAGACATGAAACATCTTCCTCTTTTCCACAGAGGGCTAGACTGAGAACCATATTGATTTTTATTTTAGTTCCCTCCCTCTGGTTTTATGTGAAGTAGGCAGAATTGGGGGAGGAGACGATGCTGTAGTAGACAACAGAAAAAAACACTTCTGTTAATTATTGGTTTTTATTTTAATAATAAAATAAATACTTTAAAGTTCAACATACTGATTGAAATACAAATGTTAATATGTGATAAGAACCTAGGAAATATTTTAAATATTTATGAAAACAGTTTTGTTTTAAAATGAAGAACTATGAATATTGTACAGTTAATTTCCTCACTGAGGACTCTGAACATTCCTCTGTTATTTCATGTGTGCTGAAGAACAGTGGTGTGCAATGCTTTGTGTAAAGTTATTGTGAAAATTTTATTGTCTTTATTTTTACCAAAGATTTCCCATAGTTTGAAGCATTTGAAGCAATAAAATATAAAAATGAATCATAGAGCTCTATGATGTTTAACGTGCTTATATCAAAAGAAAAGAGGGGTCGGCCTGGTGGCGCAGCAGTTAAGTTCGCAGGGTTCACCCGTTCAGATCCTGGATGTGGACCTCCTCACCGCTCACCAAGCCATGCTGAGGCGGCATCCCACATAGAGGAACTAGAAGGACCTACACCTAGGATATACAACTATGTATTAGGGGCTTTGAGGAGAAAAAAAAAAAAAAGAGGAATATTGGCAACAGATATTAGCTCAGGGCCAATCTAAAAAAAAATAGCTAAGAACAAAAAGAGAGATTGAAACACTTCAGGCGGTTCAAATGTTTATTGAGTGCTTTTTTTGTAGAAAATATTGTGCATGTAAGTACTTCTGTGCAAGGAAGTATAGAGTTTGCTGCCTTTCTCCAGAGCCAGAATGAACATAAGAAAAATATGATTTTTAGAGTAATGAGAAGAGCCAAATTGGTGCTTGAAATGATGCATTAGGGAGATAGGATGTGAGCTGAGCTTTGAAGGATGGGCAGGAATGACATAGGGAAACAGAAAGAGGAGGACAGTTCCTTCAGGGCGTTTAGGGACCTGATTATGTCATCAGGTCTTGTGGACTAGTAGGGGCATTGGGTGAGACCCAGGGTACTGATGATGATTTTTTTTTTTTTCCTGAGCAAGATTCGCCCTGAGCTAACATCTGTTGCCAGTCTTCCTCCTTTTTTACTTGAGGAAGATTAGCCCTGAGCTAACATCTGTGCCAGTCTTCCTCCATTTTATATGGGATGCCTCCACAGCCTGGCCAGTGAGTGGAGTATGTCCACGCCCAGGATACGAACCCACGAATCCGGGCCGCCGAAGTGGAGCAAGTGGACCCTTAGCCACTCGGCCACAGGGCCAACCCCAACATGTTATTTTATTATTTATAGTGGGGCCATGGATACATCACTTAATCAAATATCCTAGGTTTCACCATTTATTATACAGTGATAATAAAACATTTCCCCCTCTCTAACCCCCAGGAATATTGAAAGCAAAACAGTTACTAGGCAGAAATTCAGTTTGAAATTCGTGAAAGAAAAATACTATGTATATTAAAGTGGTATTGATTATATTGATAGGTCATACCGGCCAAGTTCTTGATATGAAACAAGTTCTGAAAGATAAATGATTAAGAATTAGTAAACCAAATTTTATCTTTGGGATTCTTTTAGTTATAGCTCCTTGATCCTTTTTTTCAAACCAGGGTGATATTTGACACTTTAGAAGAAACCTAAGGTTGGCTGTTTATATGGATAAGAATTATCTATTATAGGGAGTAGAAAAGCTATTCGGAGAAGAGAAGCAGTGTGAAGTCACCGAGCCCCAGGAACTCCTCATAACACAGTTACTGGAAATGTCCATCTAATGCATAATTAAACTGTAGCTGTTAAGTTTTATACTGCAAATGAGGAAAATAACTATTTTGATTCCTCAATCTTTCTTTAAGATAAATTCTCACTTTTTCATAAGATAGCTATAAGGAAGCTTACAGAAGTTTTGATTTTTTTTTTTTTTTTTTTTTTTTTGAAAAAAAGTTAATGATCTGGGAAGAACCCTAACTGCTGGT